CTAAAAATCAATTATTTATGGAACAATAGGAATCATTGAAAATGATCGTGAAAAATCAACCAATATCAATCCAATAAAAACAACTTGCTAATGCATTGCCTTCTACCCAAAAAGGTGCTTCTAACATAATACCTTAATGTATATCATTAATGCCAAAAACATCATAAAACTCTTATTAACATATTTTCCCATTTTAGGTATGATATAAACCATACAAATATAAAAAATAAATATAATAGCAGGAATTATGAGAATAAAGGCGACAAGATTTTCAAAGATTCCAAAGGATTACATGTGAGTAACAAAGAATAGATCAAAGTAAGTGTAACCTGGAGATAGATATTACATTCATGATTGTTACTAAAACTTTAATTGATGTTAAGATGATTAATACTGATATTAAAAAAATTTCATAAAATTTTATCTTTTTTTTTGGTTCTTACTTAATCATATCATCAATTCTGAAAATTGTAATAACAGCTTCTGTTGCAAATCTATTGAAATATATAGACCAATTTAATTTATTAGCTTTTATTTTGCTAACTGTTTTTTCAAGTACTCCATGTCTAAATTCACCTTTGATCAAATTTAAACCACAAAATTTATATCCTTTCTCATCAACCTCTAATTATTGTGATTTACTGTATAAAATTCTCTATTTACTGATTAAATCAATAGAGTAAAATGCTGAATTAGTAGCTAAGATTTTTGAATGGAAGTAAAGGCTTTTGCAGATTGAGCTATAGCAATTTTTTCATAAGAATCTAATTTTCTTTGATAATTATCCAAATCATAGCTTAAAGCCATTTATACTGCTCTAAAGTTATCTTAAAACACATACAATTCCAGCAGTCATCATTTCATTATCACCTCTTATCTAATCCCTAGGGTCCAAGAATATTTTTGACAAAATTTGCGAGGGCTTCTCTACCTATTTTATTAATTCTAAATATTAGATGGGAATTAATGATTTTGTAAACTGATGATCGTTTCTTGCAAGATTCTCGAATTAATAATAATAATAATAAATATCAGGGTTAATCTGATATATTTATAGTTTAACAATAGTTTATATATTCAATTTCATTCAATCTTTTAATATAGCCTCATTTATAATGTTCAACAAAATACTAATCTGGTTTAATTGTTGAATCTACTAATTCTTAAAATAATTTACCTGTTTAATAAATTAAAATTAAATTTATAGGAGGATTTTCTGATTTCATTAATTCAATGAATAAAAGTGCTTAATCTAAATATCATTTCTTACACACACATCAACTAAATATCCATAAAAGAGATCATTGATTGATATTTTCTTTTATTACAATCTCTTCAAACATTCGAAAAGCACCATTCAAATCATTTATTTTAACATAAGCTTTTACTAATATATCATGTGTGACAAAAGATGATTCTATTGATTTATTCTTCATTTCCTTAGATAATTACATTCCTTTTTAATCTCATTGATTTAACACAAGCATCCATTAATGAAGTATGAAGAATTTTGGCTGGTTTGATTTGACTAGTTTCTTAAATTTATTCCAATAAGAATATTGCGCTTAATAATTCATCTCTATTTGAATGAATAATCTTAATTCCATTTACTTAAATACTATAAGTAAAATTATCTGGAAAGATTCCATATTATTTTCTCATTTCTATAAAGTATCTCCGAGTAATATTCGTTTTACTAAATTTAATTTAGTTATCTAATAATGAATTAAAACTTATTCCATTTGGCTTCATACAAATTTATTTCATTTCTTTAAATAAATTAATAGCTTCATTTAATCTCTTCTTCTTCCAATATATTACAGGTAATTTCATCTAATTAAATAGATTATGATTATTTCATCTCATTCAATTTAATAAACAATTATAGATGATTTAATCAGGTTAATTAAATTATTTATATTCTTCAAATAATTGAAATGCTAATCCTTAATCCCTATTATCAGAATTTTTTAATCCATTAATCAAAGTAGTATAAGTGAAATTATCAAGTTTAGTAGATGAGAGTTTAAGATTCTCAAATGGTTTCCAAACTTTATCTTCCTAATTATTCTTAAAATATTAATCAATTATTGTATGAATTGTAACAATAATTGGTTGTATTTTAGCATTTTCTCTCAAAAATTAATTTAATATTTCAAATCTAAATACTGTTTAGAAATCTACTCTTTCTCTATTTTATCCATAAATTCTCCTCCTTTATTATAAGATAGTTCTTAAAGACATACCAAATTTATTATAAACTGATCTAGTTAATGCAGGCCTAGAGCAAAATTATGAAACAAAATAGATTCATATTCCTATACCTTTATTACAATTACCTCTGGTTAAGATTTAATTTTAATAACTGCTTCAGTAATCACACCTAAAAATACACTCTAACCTACTATTATTAATTTAGATCAGGTCCACTGCTGACTCTAGGATGATCTAAACTTTATGATAACGTTCCTGTTGGCGTAACAATAATAGTATAATAATAATAAATATTAATAGTATATAATTAATTCTACCACTTTGACTGAAAGTACAATATCTTCAATATTTCAATGTCTATTTTTTTACATGCCTGACGTTCTAGTGCTTATCCAACCACCAATTGTTTCAGGTTCATGACCACTAACAACTCCATAACAAGAAAAAAATTTTCCAAATCGTTACCCGTAATTCCAGTTTCTACTAAAGCTGTCATATTCTTTCTATTTAATGATCTAATATGATTCATTCTTGACATATCTACAGGCACAATCATAATGTTTTCTTCTTTTAGACATTTACAACCCAGGTTGCATTTGTACCACCACCATATACAAACAACATCACATTTATACAGTAAATAATTTAAATAATATTCTGCTTAAGCATGCGAATTTATATAGATAACATATTCTTCTATACTATTTTATTTATCATATCTTAGTTCATAGATCTAACAAATGAATATAGTTTTTGACTTCTTGCATGGTATGTCCACAAGAATGTAATATTCTCGAAGCATTTTTAAATGAAATCTCATTAATTAGCCCTTTCCTGTTAATATGAACAAAAATTAGTTGATCTATCTTTTTAAGATCCATCGTTACTACCAGACGCTAAGGTAGTTTCATCAGGGGAGAAGCATACCGAGGAGACTCTTCCACTATGAGCTTCTTATTTATTCAATTCGTGTATTTTCAAATTCTAAGCGCCATTTAAATTCACTCCACTAATATCCACATAAATGAATTCTGATCTACTTAAATTGCTTCTTGCAAAATTGCCCCCAATTAAAGAAGTATTCTAAATCTTTATATTTTCTATACATTAGTTCCTGAAATCAATCTTCATTTCCACTTACAAGTTCAAGGGATTGGATTCACACACAATAAATCGCTTATCAATACTTGTCAGAAAACTAAAAATTAAAAAAAAATGACCTTTTTATTTTCTTTAATTTCCTTCTATATATCTTGTTTAATTTCTAAGTATTTTTCAGATAATTAATAATTTATGTTAAAGTCATGATCTATAATTTATTAGAGAATATATTAGAAATTATTTTAATGTTATTCCTTAAAAAATTTAGCGTTTATTCTTTAGTCTCACACGTTTAATTTTCAATTTTTAAAATATATTATTCATGATGATTTTGATTCTCATCTATTTAAAAATATGACTGAATAAGTTTTAAAAAAATTTTGTTTTCATCTTAACTTTATTACATAAGATATTTTGTTAATCATGATATAAGACTTAATATTAAAGTAATTAAAATTCAATAATTTATTTTTTACAAAAGAAATGTTGTGCTCTTATCATATTCAAAATTAAGTATAATTTATATGTATAGCTCCTCACAATTGTTAATGTTAAAGAAAATTGTGTGGTTTATGCGAATAAACACATGGAGTAGATTAAAAATATATAGTTCCAATAGAAATTTTTCAAGAAATGGTTATTGAGTAATTAAAAATATTAAAACCTGTTGAGACACTTGAATTAACCAAATAGAGAATGAACTTTCAAACAATGATCTCTCAAATTGAACCTATACTAAAGAAAATTTGGTTAAATTTATCAGAATCAATCAAAAAAATTTATGATTGGATTGAATAGGAAAATTAATCATACATAAATCTTATTTGCGAAAATATGAATCTAACAGAATCCTCAAATGTTGATTTAGAAAAGTTAGTCTCGATTATTGAAGGAACAGAATTAAATGACTGGAATGATAGGAAGAATTTATTTATGGCGGAGTTGGAAAAGATAAAAAATTTGTGTGATCAAGAAATTAAGATTTTAATCGAAAAGTCGAATGAAGAAATGAAAAAGATTTAGTCATTAATAATTAAGTTAGAGTCTAAATATAATTCTAGAATTCCATCTATAGAAGATGAAGGTGAAGTCTATTAAAGGAAAGAGAATCTTTATGAAATATTAGCCTAAATTCAAGAAGTTGATGTAGACGAATCAGTATTCGAATTGATTATTGATGCACTGAATTAAGAGAAAAGTTCAGATTTCCTAGAATTTCTTTTAAAGCCAAATAATATCAAACTCTAAGAATCGTTTACCAATTAGAAATAAAATTTAGTAGATGTGAAAAAGAATATTAAATAGATAACTAATATTTCTCGAAATATTTTAGATCATCCTTTTAGTAAAGATGACTATTCTACAGAAGCTTTTGAAGAGTCAAAAAAAAATCTAATCAAGAATATAGCTGGAAACAAGAGGATTATCGATTTGCTTAAGTTTTTGATTCAACTAACAATTATTGATGAAAGATTCATTTAAGGTGGGTCAAATGGATTACATTTATTAATAGGTATGAAAGTGGATTTGAAAAATAAATGCTTTCAGAATATCAGGATCAAAAACACTTCTTTAATAGGTGGAAATTTTGTAAGATGCAATTTCAATGGATCAGAATTTGAAAATGTAGATATTAGTGGAGTGAATTTAAATGGGGCCCATCTTTTTAATTGTAAATGGAAGAATATAAAAATCCATGAACTAAAAGGATTAGATGGTCATGAAGGAACTGTGTACTCAGTCTGTATCTCACCTGATGGAATTACCTTAGCATCTGGTAGCGGAGATTGTTCAATCCGTTTATGGGATATAAAGACAGGATAATAAAAAGCCTAATTCGATGGCCATAGCGATTCTGTACTATCAATATGTTTCTCACCTGATGGAACTAACTTAATCTCTGGTAGTTATGAAAGCTCAATTCGCTTATGGGATGTTAAAACAGGATAATAAAAAGCATAATTCGATGTTCATAGTGATTCTGTACTGTCTTTATGTTTTTCGCCTAATGGAACTACTATAGCCTCTGGCAGTGATGATAATTCTATTTGTTTATTGGATGTTAAGTCAGCATAATAAAAAGCCCAATTGAATGGTCATAGTGATTCTGTTCTATCAGTATGCTTCTCACCTGATGGAACTACTTTGGCATCTGGTAGTTACGATAACTCCATTCGTTTATGGGATGTAAAGACAGGATAATAAAAAGCCTAATTAAATGGTCATAGCAATTCAGTAATGTCATTATGTTTCTCCCCTGATGGAACTACCATAGCCTCTGGTAGTGATGATAATTCTATTTGTTTATGGGATATTATTACAGAGTAATTGAAAGCCAAATTGGAGGATCATTAATCTGGAGTCTAATCAGTATGTTTTTCACCTGATGGAACTACTTTGGCCTCTGGTAGTAAAGATGAGACTATCCGTCTATGGGATGTA